GCGGGCAGGAGGCGTCGAGGTACGGCTGCGGGAGCATGTCGGCGCCCACCATCTCCTTGAAGAAGCGCACCGACTCCGGGAGGAGGTCGCCCAGGAGGCGCCAGTCGCCCGAGCCGTGCTTCTTCTCGTACTCGAGGTACTTGAAGCCCGAGGAGAGGCCGCGGCCAAAGTCCTTCATGCAGTCCTGGTACATCTGCTTGGCCACGCCGGAGGCGCTCGAGAAGACCGTGCCGGAGCCGCTCGGGTACTCGATGAAGAGCTTCAGCTCGTAGTCCAGCCCGGGCTTGGAGACGGCGTCGAAGGCGAAGACGCGGCCCAGGAGCGCGTGGTCCTTCTTGAAGCGCACCTCGTAAGGGGTGCAGCCCGCCAGCGTCAGCAGCGTCTCGCGCACCAGCTTGGGCTTGCTGGCCCACTCGTCGGCCCGGTTGCGGAGGCTCTCGCTCAGCTCGGCCAGCGCCTCGGCGTTGCGCTGCTTCTCCTTGAGCTCCCGCTCCTGGTCGCCGCTGCTGGACACCGAGCCGGGCCGCTTCCCGCACGGATCGCCCGAGGAAGACGACGAGGAGGAGGAGGATGAGGAGGAGGACGAGGACGACGAGGAGGTCGGGGGTCCCCGCGGCGGCGGCAGAGACACCCCGGAGGCGGCCGGCCCGTTGAGCAACGTTTGGGGCAGGAGGTTAGGCGGCACGTTGAGCTGGGCCGCGGCGCTGCCGGGAGGGAGGCCGCTCACCAAACCGCCGTGCGCCCCTCGCCTGGAGGAAGAGGACGAGGACGACGACGAGGAGGAGGAATTGGGGCTCTGGCGATTCAGCTCCGGCGGCCCATCGTCGGGGGCTTTGGGGAAGCCGTTGGGGCCCCCCAGGCCGTTGGGCAGGCGGCCCGCATGGCTTCCGCTCAGGCTGCCCGGGGGAGGCGGCGGCGGCGGGTACTCGAAGCGGCTGCGCTGTTCGCTCAGTCCGTAGCGCTCCAGGCCCGACGGTGCCTTCGAGGAGGCGGCGTCCAGCGATTCAGCTCCGGCGGCCCATCGTCGGGGGCTTTGGGGAAGCCGTTGGGGCCCCCCAGGCCGTTGGGCAGGCGGCCCGCATGGCTTCCGCTCAGGCTGCCCGGGGGAGGCGGCGGCGGCGGGTACTCGAAGCGGCTGCGCTGTTCGCTCAGTCCGTAGCGCTCCAGGCCCGACGGTGCCTTCGAGGAGGCGGCGTCCACACCACAT